TTTTTGTGGCCCTAATTCAAAACCTAAAAATTTCAGAAAACTTCAACTCTAAAATTCTCTAAGCTCAGGCCATATAAATGCAAACTATGGATATGTACAACTTCGTGGTATCTACATTTTATCTTCACAAATCAAAATCAAATGATGCCTGTATGAAGAGATATAAGTTTGAAAACTTACCTCTTGCAGCTGGAGTCATGTATGAAATTTGAGTAACCTTTGTGATGGCCTGATCATTTCTGTAGCTTTCTTGGACCTCCTTGAGTATGTTCCAACTCCTACTTTGCTTTGAGGATAACTGAAACTCTCAAGTCAAGTCAAGTTGCAAGCTTCAAATTTGGAAATGGTGGATGGTGATGGAGGAGTTACATTCAAGAAACATGGGTCTGAATCACTTTGATATGATGTATATTAAGTGTTTGGATGGTTAAAACTCAATACGCACGAGTGGATTTGGAGATGTCTATGTGAGGTTCAAAACTGTCAAGTTAAGGCAGATTCTGAGTTGCAGAGTGCTTGGGAGTGTTTTGGAGTCTTAGAATTCGTGTGTTATGTTGCAATAGGCTTGTGTATATGTATGGAAAAGGTTAGAGATCAAATGCACTCAAGGTTTCTGAGTTCTAGCCTTTTGGCTCTATGACTTGCTTTTGAAGAAAAGTGAGAGGACAAAACTCAAAGTGTTGTACAAGCATGTTCTGAGCTCAAAGAGGCTTTAGACACATTGCTTTTGATTTATAGGGTTGTGTGTGCAGAAAGAACAAGTGCAAAGCTCAAGAAGTTGACAATTGCAAAAGTAGTGTTTTATCAAAATGGAAATGGCAACTTTGTGCCATAAATGGAAATGTAACTTGGATAAAGGCTCAAGTGCTTGGATTAAAGCTCTATCAGCTGTGCAAACATTTAATTATGGAGTGGCAAACAAGTTTGAGGCCTGTAAAGCAAAGATTATGCATCCTAGGCTTGGATTTGAATTTTTGTTCATAATGAAATGGCTTGTAATTTAAGTTTGAAAACCCTAACTTCATCTCTTCGATTCTCCTTGCTCACAAATGATCTCAAGGAGTTCTTTGACATTTTGGAAATATTGTAATGTGATCTAAAACCCGTCTTTGAATCACTTTTGAAAATTCCCTTTGGAACTATATGAAAAAGTGCCATGAAGTTAGGTCAAAATCCTGACCAAAACTAGGACAAAATTTCAGTAAGTGTTCAATTTCAAGACCACGACTTTATGAATTAATAACTTGAGATCTAAGAACTTTTAGAAGAAGTTGTGTAAAGCAATGTTGTAGATATCATGGAGATCTACAACTTTCATGTTGAAAGTTTCTTCTGAATCATCTTGCATCATGGTGAAAAATTGGCTCAAAGTTATGAAAAAAAACATGAAGTTTTAAACACTTAGAAAAATTTTTAAGTTAGAAAACTTTGACTTTTCAAAATGAAATCTTGACTTTTTGATTTCTTAATGGATAAGTTTCATATTTTGACATGTTTTGATGAATTGTGATCTTTGATATTGGATTTTGACCAAAAAGTTAAAGTTTGACTTTTTAGTGTACAATTGACTTTTGATCAGTTGATTGATAATTCACTATCAATCCAATTGATCTTGAGCAATATTTTAATTCATGCCATTAGGTCAAAAAGATGCAATTGAACTCTTGAAACCATGCTTCAAACCAATTGACCATTTGCTAGGTCAAAAATCAGAAATTGCCCTTTCTCAATCAAAACCCTAATTTTGACCATTTTGCCCTTTTGATAATTTGATCAAATTTCTTGAGGAATTGTGGTCCAAACTTCATCAAACGATACATATGATTTTATAATATTGATGTGGATAAAAAATTATGAAATTTGACTGTAAATTGGCCACAATTGACTTTTTCCCCAATACAGCCAATTTTTAGGTCAACAGCTCAATTGACTGAGCAAAAGTGTGATCCAAGACTTGAAACTTGACATGAGTAATCTTGGGGGTCCATAATGATCCAAGAAAGTTATATGAAGCATTGAAAGTTCAATTATCCTTGTGCAATCTCAAACCCTAATTTTGGTCATCAGTGTTTAAGGAGGTGTCTTGAGCTGATCAAACCTAATGCAACATTGAACTGAAGGAGATCTTGTGAGAGATTTCTTGATAAATGAGAGGAAAAATTTCGGGGTACAACAGTCATGAAGTCATGAGTTAAAAAATATAATGACATAAATAAACAAAAATAGCTTTAACAGCCACTACATATATCAAAGGGCAAGTAATAAGACCTAAAGATTTCAGCCTCAGATGAATGATCAACATCACAGTCAAACAGTGGAGTGTCACCACATGCAATGCAAGGACATAGATGGCAGGCACGGTAACACCACCCAAACGGAGATGCAACCAGAATCCTCGTTTCAGCAACAGTGGCGCAAAAAGTAATCTGCATCAATAGGCCATGTCATGAATCATAAATTAAAAAAAGTGACCAACACAAATGGAAAAAAACAACAGCAACAACCAAAATGTAGCATACATCACAGAGTTTGATTATTTCACCAAGAGGCAAAACAACAACATTCGAGAGTAACATCTGAGCAAGGTTGAGTTGTGTTTTTCAGAATTCTGTGAGATAACAGCGAACCTGAACCCATCTGCCCAGAGACAGTAACGATAGACTCCTTAGGCATGTTGCACGAATAAGTGAATTAAAAAAACATACACACAACAGCAGGAGAATTCTAACCTCACATAGATACCATCAAATTGATACATAGAACATACCAGTCAATGAAATCTTTGATCAGAGGAAAACCAACATCGAGGCAGAGCAACGTGACATTGTAGGTGTTTATCACTGACAACAGAAACTTCCCTATACAAACATAAACAAGAGGCAAGTGTGAGTGGTCAAAAATAAATAGACAATCTCACAACAGAATGAACCAACCAACCCTCTTGTTTGACTTTTGCATACTGCAACAACAACACAGTTGGACCAGAGCTATTGTCACGATCCTGGTTGAATTTGATAAACTGTTCGGCATACGATTCCCAAAGAGTGCAATTCAGAGTGTTGTTACTAAACAATGAATACACAACATTCAGTTAGCAATTGAAATTTAAGATGCACCACAATATAATATATGATACAACAACAATGACAAAAGTGTCAGGTTACATACATGTGGTCCCTTAACATTATATTAACCTACAGTTTTTTTGAACCCGACTGCGGCTGAGAATACTCAATGCTCTCAACCATTCCAATTACATCTTGCCAAAAAAAGACAAACACCCACATAATAAAATAATAGTATATCGAATTCAATCACGCGCCGAAAAGATCAAAAACAACGTTAGATTTTAATTATCTATCAGCACATCCCTGTTGTAATTACCGTTGATTATATCAGAAAAACCAGTAAACATCAGCGATTTTGCAGGTATGTCATGTTTGTTATCATCATCAACGAACGTACCTCCTATAAACTTAAGCATAAATTTGTGAGCCGAAGGTCTATACGACGAAACATTTTGATGAACCTTAAAGTTTGCCACAGTATAAGTATGGCCCAACAAAAGTTTTCCATCAAAAACAGACTTATATGCCGCCTGGACAACAACATGAATATCATCGCCCTACAATGCACAAAAAACTAACAGCATATCAGAAAACTAACATACCACTATACAAAATCTGCCATAACAACAGAATATGATAGAAACCGTGTGAAAAATAGAACATCCAGACGCATAGAAGAATTTATTTCACCGTTTTGTCTACAAATATCATTTCAAAATTCTCTTTGTTCTTAATCAGAATATTCCACCGATGATGAACCCTGACTGCAACATTCCATCATTCTTTACTATCATTGATGTTGCATACAACTTCAATCGGTCGTGCCATGGTAAACCGATAGCAGGGACATGATACAAAAACGGCAAGGTTGGAGGAAGATGATGCTATAACAGAAATTAGGAAGATGCGAAATGGCAGGGTTGGAGGAAGGCGATGCTGTAACAGAAATTTGGAAGATGGAAGGATATAAAGAACGATTGCCATGGGGAATATTTGGAGATAGTTACATAATGGCAGGGGTTTGGAGACGGTTACAGAATGGTTGCCATGATGAGAGATGGACAGCAGTTACAAAATTGACATAGATAGGAGTTGTTTGAGAGGCAGGAAAACAAATGCATCGTGGAAATGTGTGAAAGAATCCCAAAATCTGAAATAGAGAGCAATAGAAACAGCACGTGGAGTGTTTTTGGAATAAAAGGACAAAACTGTCAGAATGGATAAAATGAATTTTCTTATATTATAGATTTATTCAAAAAATATATATTCAAACTATATTTTTATTTAAATGAGAGTGTGATTCATGTACGAAAGAATGTGATATATATATAATATATATACGAAAGTATATTTCTGAATTTTTAAAAGGAAAATTTCGGATTTCATTATAGTGGCTCTTCACCGTTAAAGGTGAGAAGAGCAACTCTCTTTTTACAAGTCTACTCATTCAAATATCCAAAGGTGGAATAGGTGGAATATAAGAATACATGATTCAAAGATAAATTTTCTTTTTATAGATGTGTATATATGTGTGTTTATATTTTGAGTCTTTTCCTTCCTTTAATAAGATATATGAATTTCGTAGACGGAAAATTTTAATAAACCACCAACCAAAAGTAAATTTTTAAGCAACAAAAACCAAATAATGAAATACTTAGAAGAATCATAAAAAAGAAAGAAAGAAATTGGTTAACTTTTATGCTTAAAATTGTATATAGAGGAGGGAGTATCTAATTATACGGGTGAATGCCATATTTTTTTGAAGAGTTTAATGGTTATGTAAAAACTCATCACCATATGATACTAATAAATTTTATTTTTTTAATAATAAGCTGATAGAAAGTAATTTAAAAATTACAATTTTGGAGATTGGCGATATAAGGATCAAAATTAGGTCCTTAAATTTGGGATCCAAAAACAAACTTATCCTACATGTACTCGAACCGTTTACTTAGCAAGAAGCGAGCCCATTATTTATATGAGTTAGAGATGATGGATGGTCAAAACATCACCTCTTTTCTTGGAGTGATGGAGGAAACTACAGGCGGCATGGCGGTGACTCTTCCGTTGGATCTGGTGGCTGAATTCCTATGTAGACTCCCTGTCAAATCACTTCTACGACTCCGCTGCGTCTGCAAATCATGGAATAATCTAATATCCAATGATCTGGATTTCACAAGGAAACACCTTCACTTATCAACCAAACGCCAAACTCTCATCACGAGCACGTTCAGCCGCTCAAAAGAGTTAACTGTAACGTCTTATCCACTCGACTCTCTTCAACTTCACTCTATTTTCACCACTAACGCCACACAACTCGTTCGCTCTCCGCTTAATCCACACTACTGTGATGATATCATTGCATCCTGTGATGGTCTCATTTGTTTAGCCAATAATTGTCATGTTGTTCTCTGGAACCCTTCCATTAGAAAACTTAAGAAACTACCCTCTTTAGAAATTCCACAACCTCGTGGAAGAGTAACATATGCATTTGGTTGCGATCCTTTCATTAATAGTTACAAGGTTGTTTCTGTTTTTTGCTGTGATTTTGAATCTCTTACTATTGATATGAAAGGTTGCAAAAGTCAGGTTAAAATTTACACTTTGGGCACACATTCATGGAGAAGGATTCAGGACTTTCCCCCTTGTATGGTCCCCTGTGGTGAACCGGGAATAACCATTAGTGGCACTGTTAATTGGTTTGCATATTCTGACGCTGTTCTTAGTTCCTCGCAAGTCATTGTTTCTCTTGATTTGGAGACAGAGTCTTATAGACAGATTTCACAGCCCGATTATGGAATGCAAGTTAACTTGACTCTCGGTATCATGCGGGATTGCTTATGCGTATTTTCTCATTCTCACTCATTTAATGATGTTTGGCTTCTGCAGAAATGCGGAAATAAAGAGTCTTGGATTAAATTGATCCGTCTTCCTTACTTTGGTGATCATGATTACTTTATACACCATCCCAAGATAGTATACATTTCGGAGGATGATAATCATGTGCTGCTCTATTTTAAGGACTTTTCTAAATTGAAGTGGGTTGTTTACGACTTCAAAAATGAAGCCGTAGAAAGTATCAAGATTCAAGACATGAGTTTGATAGATTCATTCGTCTACATTGAGAGTTTGATATTACTTGGATTTTAATACTAGGATGAGGATGTTTTGCTGTTATGTGATTTATTTTATTTTATTTTATGTTTGTTTTTATTGTCCGTGTCTTCAGAGATCATTGTTAACTAACCGTGGATATAATTTGCACCTTGAGAAATTGTTGTGTTATGTTCATTTGTTTGTTAGAGTGGTTCTTCATGATGCATTAAATAATTGTTTAGAATCACACATTGTATTTGATGGTGCTGATTTTATTTTATATGATTGGAATTATGTTTGTTAATACATCTGCTGCCAACTGTTAGCTGTGCATGCAAATTTCATAATGTATACTTCAAATCAGCTGCTAACTGAACTGAGTATGTTAGTTATAACACCATTGTGATGTGTTTGTTGACTTAGAAATGGCATTTTTATTTAGAACATATTGATTTTTTTGTGTTCTGATATTGCAGAGATTAATTAGTTATAAATTAATTCTATATCATGCTGACTTTGGTTGCTGTAATGTTTCCCTATATTTCAACATAATAATCAGTAAGCTGCAGCTTTTTTTTAATCTAAGAATTTGTGTTAGCACCCCTTCATTCCTTTACACTTTATTTGTGATAACCTTTGTGTAGTGTATTCTTTCATGAGGATCCATTTAAGTAATGATATGTATATATAACAGAATCACTTAATAAACTATCGGATGCTATTACTCTATGATGGCAATTATCCCATTACTCTATGGTATTTACACAACTTGTCGGGTTTGTTTCCCACAATGTCTCCTTTAGGGATGACCTTCGTATGGCAAACTCTCGGAGAATATGCTCTCACCCCGTGTTTAACAGAGTGAAACTTTCTAATAGCTTTCACACAAACTTGAAAGTCATTTTATCACGAATCAGTATTGCATTTTGGTGTCGTCTTTGTACTCCAGTATATGATTTTCCGACTCCTCTCTCTTTTCTAGTTGCTGCTCTCTTCCCCTTTTATATACCATTCTTCCCTGGGCATGATCTCCTCCATTGAGGAGGCTGGTTTATGCGCCAAAGACTCATTAAAGTGTCCTGCCTTGAGGCCAAGCCCCTACGAACATCTCTTGCCTAGAATGAGCGAACTTATGGTTTCATTGTTGAAGCAGACTAAGTATTTCCTTAATGATTCGGAGTACCCTTGTCAGACATTAAAAAGGCTTGTTGTGGATACCTTTCTATGCTTGTTGGCTGAAAATTAGTGTATCATTTTCCCCGTCAAGTCCTGGTAGCTAGTGACGAAGAGCCTAGGGAGGCTCATGTACCAACGGAGGGCTGCCTCCTTCAACATGCCTGCCATCAATTTGCATTTGAAGGAATCAGTAGCTCCAATGATAGTCATTTGGGTGTTAACCCTAATAATGTGTTCTTGAGGGCCACTCTTGCCGTCAAGTTGTCTGAGTTAGGGATCCACCAGTTCCTCCTAATCGTCTATTGCAGGCTGCATCTATTACTGTTGTAGGTCTCACACGTTACCTTGCAACATCCCATTTTGGCGACGTAATTCCTCCATAGCCGTTAATATTGCTACTATGGCGGCATGATCATTGTTGTGGTGATGATAGTTGCTACAAATGGCAACCTTGATCATCATTAAACAATGCAGGGCTGTTGTTGTAAGGGAAGTGCGTGGCTTGTGTCAGTTTTATCGGGTTCTACTATAGGCGTCAGATGTACACACAAGGTACACATGTTGATAACCTTACTGGCGAAGTGCCAGTCCGAGTCAAATATACTATTTTGAATGAAGTTGTGGATGTCTTTCTGTTTTCTGATGCCTCCCTGTATATGGTGGTCTTGATCTAGTCTATAGGGAAGCCCAACTAGAAATACTTTAATGTGATTGAGTGCACTTTATGGTAATTGAATGCACAATCATGGTGATTGAATGCACATAATGGAGAATGGGGTTCGACTTTCAAAAGTTTCGTGGGTTGGGGTTGCCAATTGAATCATCGTAACAACGGCCTACTCCCGCATCCTTGCTGGTCTCGTAGGATCGGGTTAAGAGTCAAACTGATCACACATCCTTGCTAGTCAAGTGGTCATGCCGGGTTGGGTTAAGAGTCAAACCCATCACGCATCCTTGCTGGTCACGCCGGTCGGGTTAAGAGTCCGGCCTATCACACGGTGGGGCCCCTTCCGACCTAAAATAATTGGAATGTACATAATGTTTACTTCAAATCAGTTACTAACTGAATCAATATTGTGAGTTGTCACACATGGATTTCATTGCCATTCAATCACTTCGGCTGGTTTGGTAAGGAGATACACGACCAAGTGCAGGAGTGTTTACTATGTATTTGGTTTTTAGTTCAACGTGGAAATATAAAGGAAACAAGAAAGTGTAGTTAAGTTTGTATGTACATTATTCATTATGTTAATTTATACTACCAGTACCACATCCATGTTTTATTTATTTATTTATAACATCACACATTTAAACCAATTATAAATGGTTTAGAACTAGAGTTTATAGAATATAGAACATTGACATAGAAGAATACTAAGAGATCTTTTCCGTTCAAGTACAAGATTTCATCCTTGAACAAGACTATAATTCAAAAATAAGTATTTCATCTAACAAAAAAGAGGTCACCTGAGAAGAAACTGTCATTAGATAAAACGAGAAACTATGCCAAAACTCTCAGAATTGATAACAGCAGTGATTCTGATTTAAAAAAATAAAACATAGAAAGTATCAAGATTCAATACTCGTGTTTGATAGATTCAAAAACCTACATTGAAAGTTTGATATTACTTGGATTTTAATACCAAGATGTAAATGTTGTGTTGGTTATTTGTGAATGAGATTCTAAATTGGCATTTATTTTTTAGGAAATATTGCTTTGTTTAGTTCTGATGCAGAGATTAGTTGTTAATGAATATATCATGTTGACTATGAATAAGTTTGTCATCTCTAGCCTTGTTATGCTTTGATTTATTCCCTTCCTTTAATAAAAGACTTGTGATATCCTTACCATTTTTGCCTCGGTCTCTTGCTTCGAAAGGAATCAACATGATCTTTGGAACTTGTCATTACCCATTCCATTAGGTGGGAACTGACGTGATTACTGAGATTTGTCATTACCCTTCCCAGTTGTTGGTAAATGGCGTAATCTCTAAGCTTTGTCGTTATCTGTCCTAGTCAGATGGGAACTAGTGTAACCACTAAGCTTTGATGTTATTTGTCCTAGTTGATGGGAACTACTGTAAGTCTTCGGCATCAATGGGAACCGTCCCTCATCAAGGGTGGGATTCCCGTCTTGGCCTCAGGTTTTTCCTTGTTTCGAGGTGGACGTCTAGTGAGTTTCACCTCTTACGTTTTTGGAGTGGCTAGTTTTTAAGAGAGAATGCACTAGTCTCGTTTTTGTGCATTTTAGTCTTGTAAGAAAACAAATTTATTTCGCATTAGAAGGTAGTATAATAAGTATCAGAGGTATTGTGTTAGACAAGGGATCATTTATTTGATTTTTGAAGAACCTTGAAAAATACTTATTTTGTGTATCGTTAGGATATATACTAGCTCATTTGTTAGTCGGCTTGGACATCAACTTTACTTTGATAGGGATCGTGTCAGTGGACTTTAGGTACATGATGTTTGTCCCATATCGCGACCTTAGAATTTTCTTCAAGCTTCTGCTCTTCCTAACGACCGAGATGGATGCATAAACTCTTTCTTGATTGCTCCCTATCCGCCCTTGGCTATATCTCAGCTTCGTTATAAAGTTTATGTATGTTTTGATATTTCGACTTGACTGGTAGCCACTGGTATCTTCTTTTTTATTTACAATAGAAACAGATTTAGAAGGTTCGCCGTCTTTTATAGAATGTTGGCCAATTTGCAGGATGCTTGGAATTTTCTCTTCTCACCCCTCCTCGGCTCACATGCTCAAAATCTACCTTCATGTTCATCTCGAGCTATGTTTGAATCAGTCAAACTTACACTACAATTTGAGTATTCTATTATGGCGTGACTTGTCGCAATGATAAGGATGAATTTCGAACTTTGCATCAGAGGTTAGTTTTCTCCGTCATGATAGCTTTTGGATCAAATGAGATTTGATTGTGAAATTTTACGGGAACTAATTGTCGTTTCCCATAGACAGTGTCACTATTCCATATTGGAACCAGAATTGTAATTGATTTGCGATGTTGGACTTCTGATGCGGTGATATGAAACTCTAATGCAACAAAACAATGGTGAATCTAAAAGATTAGCACTCCAACAATTATGTTAGTTACCGAGTCTAAAATGAGTAAAAGTGTAAGTCTTAAATGAGAGAATGCACCTTATATCTTACGCATGTCATTTATATGTGATAGATAATTTGAATGGGCTTAACACTTATGGCTCGTCCATATTAGACATTTTAGCTAACGCGGCTAACTAGAACAAAGAGCAAATATCAATATACGACTTTTTATAGCATGTTATATTTAATTTATAAAATTTGTTGTGATTTGAAACATATATGAAAAATATTTTTATTTTAATATATGAAAAATATTTTTTACACATATTAAAGAATATAATAATATTGTCTTAAGGCATTACATTTTTATTAAATTAATCTTATTAGTATGTTAAGCGTACCGTACAAAAAAATAATTAAAAGACACAATTGAAAAAATAGTAATTATTTCTACATTGAAAAGTAAGAAATACTATATTTTAAAATAAATTTTATTTGATAAAACAACAATTATTTTAAAACGGAGAGAATAATAAATTCAGAAACTTATGAAAAACAAATTTAGAAAAGGTTAAGAATAATTTCTTAAATTGTTTCTATAAATTCTCTTGAACAATTTCATAAAACTTATAAATAGATAAACTCAAATAAAATAATTTAAGTAAATTTAATATTTATTTTAATTTATTTTCTATTTTTCTATATTCATTGCGTCTCACAATATGTGTCTTCTTTAAAATTTTCACAATTTTTAAGATGATAATTAATTATGTTGATTATAATTATAAAATAAATTTCATTTAATAAAATAATTTTATTAATAATAGATTGTGGTGTAGTTATATGAATTAAAATATAATAAAAAATAATAAATGAGTGGAAAAAAATAATAAATATCATATTAATACTTTAAATGGACAAATAATTCGAGACAAAAAAAAAAATAGAAAAAAAACATCTACTGTGCGATATGTTATGTAAATTTTATTCCCAATATTTGATTTATGTATTTTTATATTTGAATTTGAAAACAATTAAGTTGATTTTATAAAAATAAATAAATAAAGCTGTTAGAAGGTGAAATTGTCCAGGAAAAAGTAATTAATTTAGAGTTGTTTTATGCTATAGATAGAATTTTAATATTTCTTTCTTCCTAGTTTCTACAGCAGGGTTTTGCATAAAAAGGGAAAAAGATGTGTTGGGAAGTTAAACATAGTACGCAATGTTTAGGCCTTAATCACCAACACTGTTATTATAAACAAAACAAAACTTGTTCCTAATTATTTGTATTGTGCTTCAAATTTTCGATCCTTGAAAAACAATGAACACCGTAGGTTCAAAATTCTTGTTTCTCTTTTCAACTCTCTTTCTTCTTCACGCCAAGGCCACGGACGTTCACTATTGCGGTTATTTCTCTCCCTTTTCGCTTTTTTATATTTTTTAATAATTTTCTAAGTTTAGTTTTAAATTTTCAACTTTCGTATCATAAACGTTTCGTTTAACTATTGGGTTTCTTTGATCGCGATTTTATTCATATTTTATTGATTTTGGATTTTGTCAGCTAAATTATCGTTCTTCAATATTGAATGTTTATTTGTCGTCAGTTTATTGTTTGTGGGTTTTTTTTTTTTAATATGTATAATAATAGTTAGGGTTGAATTTGTAATTGAGTTTTTTTTGTTAACTGGAATTGACTTAATAAATAAGTTATTTTAAGCATAGATTCTCTTATAATAGTTAATTGTTCCATTTCATTTGTTAATTTGTTAATTGTGAATTTGTCTATTAACTGGTTTTACAATTTAATAAGTCAATTTAAACTGGTTTGTTCTATCACTGTTATTTTATTGAATAATAAATTATATTACCTGATTATTATGTATATATGTACCCACAGATAAGAAAGCAAACTATGCTGTTGAGGTTAAGGGAGTTCAAATATCTCCTGATCCCATTGCAAGAGGCCATCCAGCTACATTCACCATTTCTGCAGCTACAAGTACTCTTTAACTTCATACGTTTTCCTTATGTTATTGTGCTTCTTTTCTTTTGTGGTTTAAATTTTGATTATTATATTCCAGTTTCATGCATGTGATGTTTCTCTATGTACATGTATTCTTCCTTGTGCTATATTTTACTCTTTTAAATGTTTACTCTAAGCATGCTAAGTAATGTTGTTTGGAATTTTTGTGTGATTATATCATAGTGGTGCATTCTGGGTAGAAATAGATGAGATTTTGATGAATAATGCGCTGGCCATCTTTTCTCTAATCCAATCATTTAATGACCTAGGTCAAGAGTTACCACGAGGGAAACTAGTGATAGATGTGTCGTATTTTGGATGGCATGTATATAGCGAGACCGATGACCTTTGTGGAGAATCATCTTGCCCTATTTCGGTTGGTGATTTTGTGCTTTCTCATTCACAAGTTTTACCTGGAATCGCCCCACCTGTAAGTCGGTGTTATTACTTTCATACTTTAAAGAGATAGTGTTTGTGCGTGCATACATTTTTGGGCAATATGAATATCTGTAATATGTTAGTACATACTTGCATTTGATCGAAAATCACTCATGCTAAATTATGGGCCTTATGGCATTTAGATATGTATATTGCTTATTGTTATGAAGAAATCTCTCATGAAAATAAGTAGAAGGAAGTAACACTTTACAAATAATAATCAGCCGCTTTTCTACGTACGTCGGCCAGAATCTGATTGGTCAAATGTCTTATTTTCATGTATTCTTCGCTTTCTTGTAGAAACCCTTTGTAAGAACTAGCAATTCTCTTTGGACATCTTAAGAAAGGGATTGTCATTTATGATAACACAACTGTCATCTGACGTGTCTTAGCATAGCATATCTGTTATGTTTTTTCAAATTGTAGCTCTTAACATATATTGCAATTACAGGGTTCATACTCGTTGAAGATGAAGCTATATGACGGAAACAAGAACGAGTTGACTTGCTTTACGTTTGGTTTTGATATTGGGTTTGGTTCTTCTGTGGCTGATATGTAATTGTGGTTGGTCTCTGATATCTATGTTTAGATGCATATAAGTTAGTTTTACAAACTGCAAACTACCCTTATGATACCGAGTTCCTTGTATTATAACCCAGCAGTCTATTAAGAATAACAAGATATCTTGTGTAATTGCTGAGATTACATAATGCAAACTACACGCATCTTTCTTTATTTTGTTAGTTTCTGATTGTGATTGGCAGCGTGACACTGTATGTTTGTCTATTCTAGACTATACTATGAGTCAACATTAATGTTTTGAAAACCAATCTGGAGTCTGGACAATGAACCGGCAACAAAATTGCGATCGAACTGCTAAATTGACTGGATCGTATTAAAGGTCGGTTTAAAGTTCAATAACCCGATTTGGTTTTTTAAACATTGGTCCACGGATAGTGGCGCATAGCGCTGAACCCCCAAAATGCTATAGTGGCATAGCGGATAGCGGGATTACCACTATTGTGAGCTTTAAAAACTATTTTAAATACTTAAAATAAATTCTAACATCCATAATGTTTTAAACACATAAGTTGCAACAAGATGACTGAATCACATTTGTGTCTGTCTCATCTTCACTTTTAAGTTCCACTACATTATTAATATCTTCTTGTATATCACTTGATTCAAACTCTTCTTGTTCCACCTTCAAGTCTTCTTCTCCATTAGACACTAATGTAGCAAGTCTAAAGTGATATCTAGTAATTCTTAGTGTTGGATGTTTGTGTCACACTTGTAGAAGATGATGCCATGGTTGTCAATAAAAGAGAAACTGAGCAACATAGCAAAACAGAGGAAAAATTAGTTGTGTGAATAGATGAGAAAGGTGAAAAAGTAGATGAATAGGTGAAGAAAGGTGATGATTTTTGAAGAAGGATGGATGGCTTGCTGATTTGCAGAATAATGTAGAAGTTGTATGAGGAAGTTTTGCGAAGAAGATGGTTTTGTGAAATGCAAACACGCGAGTGAAGTGGGAAACGACAAAAAAACATTTGAAATGACCTAAAACAAACATTCATGCTTTTATATTAGGTCAAATAAAAGGGTCAAAAATACTAATTTGACCTTAAAAAATTGAATTTACAAATTTACCCTAATCTTTACAATAGCGGCCTAGAATTTGCTACAAAACCGCGATTGCGCCCCCATGACACCACAAATAACAGTCGCTATTCTTGCTTTTGCGAAGAGGTCTGGTTCTGCTATGTTATGTCGATATAACGCACTATCAACAACCTAGGTCTACGTTACTATCTGAGGGTATGAATTAACATGTTGTTTCTGTTGAATATATATTTGTGTTGTTGGACTTTGTTTGAAGTCTTACATTGCTTGAATTTCTGAACTGTTGAAAGTATAAATACGTAAGGACAACCTCATTCTTTGAGTTAGCTTTAAGGATGACATTTAAACATATTTAACGTGATATTAGAGTCGGGTTAAGGACTACAACGTGAGTATTTGTGTTGTATGAGTTTATTTGAAGTCTCATATTGTTTAGGTTTTAGTTTTGGTTTGAGATCCAAACATGTTGGAAGTCCCACATTTTTATAAGATAAAAAATATGATGCCAAATTTGTGGTTTGTGTAAGATTGATGCAGGATGCAAATATCTGATGCCAAAATCCTGTTCTGTGTAGTGATGCAGGAAGTACTGAAAAGTCTATGGATAGATTTATTGTCATGTCCTCTTCTTGAGTTTCATGAGTATCATAGGGTTAATTGTAGTTTGATATATCAAGTTAACTTTTCTTTTTACATGCTTTGGAAATGAACACACATTGTTTATGCATTTGATTTTATTCAATTTATAGTTTGAATGAAACATGCAAATTTATAAGTTTGTTTCACTACTAATTTTGTCCCCTCACATGTACACAAATGACAAAGGATAGTACATTAATCAAGTGTCATGACCATGAGAACACTTTCTCTCTCATGCCAAATATGAATCATATGTGGTCCTAGAACCAAAGGCATAGAGTGGTACCAAATTAACTGAACCATGTGCAGAATTGGGATTTAGGCTGGCAATGTGGCATAGGAAAAAACCATTCTGACCCCAATATGAGTTGGAATGTATGTATCCAGAGATATCATTCAAGGTAATTTATTTTATTTTATAAATATAATCTCTTTGAATTGTAGTAATTAATCTATTGAATCGAAAAAAATCATAATAAACAGTAAATATCTCTCTCTCTCTCTCAAATGATTTAATACTAATATGTGTTCATAATTGAATTGAATCCAAGATTTTTGATTAATTTAAAAGAAACTATTATCATCTTATTTAAGTACTCATGTGTGTTTGACTTCGTTATCAAAACACAAATTAAGCAAATGATATTTATTATAAAAGTATTTTTTTTTAATAACTAATACTCTATCATTAAAGTTTACTAGTTTATCATTTTCAAAAGATACTTAATATTTATAGAATAATTTTATTGCAGTTTAAATAGATTTAATATCTTAATCAATTTAAAAAAAAATATATATTTAGAGATAATATTGATAAAAAAAGTAATATACTTTCAAATTTATATGTATTCTTGTGAAAAGAGCTAAACATATTTCGAGACTGAGGTAGTAACACATTTGGTTTCACTTGTGAAATTCACAAATGTCATTTTTCATGTTTGTTAAATGTAATATATATTGTGTCAACGAAAAACTAATGATATAAACAAAATATTCAAATTATATTACTATAAAAATTTATTTCATTTTCAATAAATAAACATGTAAGAGTATAGGTTGTAATTGAAGGCCGAAAATAAGTTGAGTTGAATCAAACTCTCTTCAGCTCGATAATAATTAGTTCAATTCAAATTTCACTTCGAGTTCGATATGATTTTTTTTTTAAACTCAAATTCAATTTATTTTAAATTCATGAATAACTCGGTTTAACTTATAAAATTTATCTCATTCGGTTAAGCTCGCTTGCTTTATAGACTTGAAAACCATTTTTATTTGATATAAGAATTTTATTAAATAAATAAGTTTAATCTTTAATTATTATATATAATATTAGATTTTATTAGTATGATTATTTTAAAAAATATTTTGCTCATTTGAAAATGTAAATAATCCATTAAAATCATTAGATTAAAACAAAATAGATGAACAAGATTTGGAGTAAGTCTTTATACATACTCTTAGAGTTAATATAATTCTTTGAGTTGACTTATGAATCTAACGAGTTGAATTATGCATAGTTAAAGTCTAACTCGTTTAATTAACAAACTTAGTTTTTTTGCTCATATTCATCTCATTTTGTTCATGAACCTAATTTAACGATGAAAATTTCTTAATGCACCCTATAATCTTCTAGCGCATCGCGCGAAAATACTACTATGTCTCCAGGTTTTAGAGATGTATCTCCGGACGTACCAAACGTTTACTAAAACATCAATTATTCCAAAGATGTATGTATGTAACCTTTTCGAATGTATATTTTCGGAATCTTGCGTAGCAGAAGCAAATAAATATAATAGAAAAACACCAACTTGACAAAATAAAAATACCATTGATATCATAAAATCAACAATACATAAGGATTTTAAAACAATTCAAACATTACACTTCAATATCCAGGTGGACGATGTAACATCTTAATAATATCATCGACAGATCTCAAAATAGTCGCATCCAGCTCGATCGGAATTTTATTCTAAACAGAAGAAGGTTCTCCACATAGCCCTTAAATCAGCGACTGTCTTCAGCTCATGGTTACTGAACTAAAGTTTCCATTCTTTGTCAATGGATGGCGAGCCGTACTTGATCTTTACAATTTTGCGATTGTTGCTATATGGTAGAAGGTCATGCAATGTGTATTGCAGATCTTCAAGATGGGTGTACTTGATGATTTTAAATTCTCTTGATGGTGTATTACCGGTAAAGTGAACTTTTCCAACATGTCAAATGATGTTCATTCTGATTTTGTGTGTTTTGGTATGAAACAATATGACAAGTGATCTTATTTATAGCAGTGGAAGGATAATATGGACCTCACAAGCCCTATCTTGTACCAGGACACATTTCAAAAATACATTTCCTGAACCACCCTTTATTCCAGAGATGTATTTTCGGAACCTTTCTCTGGCAGAACAGATAAAAAACAGAACATGACAGAGATATTTATTCAATGTTGAATTTTTTGACAAACTATAAAATGTATATATTAGACATCATAACACATTAATACAATGTCACTTATAATAAATTGATAATAACTACTAAACCAAATCTGCAGATGGTACCCCCTTTGACTTTTCTTTATTTATTTCTCTTTCAATTTTGCTTAATTTGGTGTACTCTTGCATCCTTTCAATAAATTGGCCCGGTAAACTCTCATATTTGGTTGTATAATGTGCTCTCCACTATGGTGATGTGAGTGGTATAGGACATCTCAATTTCAAATACACTTGAACAAAATGTCATGGATTTGAAATCCATCCAATACAGATGATACGATCATTGAAATTTTATGGTGGAGCAATGCACAGTGAGAAAAAAGTTTCCGAGAAACCGTATCTTATAAGATCAATATACACTCTTTCATACACACTTGCTATGAGGTGACCCATCTCAGAAAAGTGAATTCACTTTTCCTCCGGTGTAGGTCCACTAGTGCAAGGTATAATAGAGTGATTAATTTCTTCAACCTTCTCTTTATTCCCAAACATCCATGTGTATAATTCTTTATTGCTCCTCAACTCTTGGATAAGAGTATGGCAGACAAGTGTGTGATCCTCTTCTCTTTTATCAAGTAAGGGTGAAATATCCTAAAAACCACAGTTACCGTCACCCTTGCCATTGATGATCCATTCAATGTAATTGTTCATAAAAATAGGAATTTCCTCAATGAATGAGATTTTTTGTGGAGGTAGTTTGCTAATGCGAGCTCCTTTGAAAACACTTTTATGATATTTAGGAGTCAGTGAATCGCGAAAACATTTGTCAACATGTTCAAAATATGATGAACTCCTCATTGTT